GTGATCTTAGCCATGGGGCTCACCAGAGGCAGGACTGCTGACCTCACTGAGGAAGTGGCTTGGGAAGAAAGTGCCCAAGATTATCTCGGGGGTGCCAGGGAGGCTCCAGCACACAGGAGTCCAGAGTGAAGCTATCACTCAGCGCTGGCCTCGAGGATGTTGCTGGCCCATTTGTTTGCCCTCCCTCTCCTCTAGTTGGAAGGAGACATCTTCACCACACACGCAGCTCCCGGCCAAGCTTGGCCTTGGGGAAGCAGGACTGGAGGGCTTCAGCCTGACTTCTGAGGTTTGGGAGGGACCTACAGTTTCTATTCTGATGAGGGCTGGCTCTATATTCTTAAGACCCTGACCCTCTTCTGGGCCCTCATCCTCGTGTCTGGTTCCCTATTCTATCTTGACTTCCTATCTTGGGAACTATTTCTTATTTCTTCTACCTGCCAGGGTAGGGTCTTGCCCTAGGCTTGGTGGCTCGGTCTCATCCTGCTGAGCGGCCTCCTGAGTGCCCAGAGCCTGTCCCCTGGGCTCCCTGACCATCCCTCCCCAAGTTCACAGTGTCTTCCTGTCCACCCTGGGCTCCCTGACCATCTCTCCCCAAGTTCACAGTGTCCTCCTTGAACCCACAGCACTGCCTTGCCCCAGGGGGCAGAACTCACTCCAGAAAGCCTTGTCTCCTAAGGGACACAACACAATGTCCCCTTGAGTTAGAGTCAAGGGGGCATTCAAACAACACCTAAGATGCTGATCAAGACACAAGAGGCTCTGCTAGAGGCAAGAAAGCCAGCCACCCCGCAGATCAGCTTTGCCACCAAATGCTCACCTGTGCCTGACCCAACTTACCCTTGAAGTGTGCGACTGTGTAAGAGTCAGAATGACAAATGTGCCTGGTCTGGAAATGAAATGACAGACGAGAACATGGAGGTGGGGAGAACAGCACCCCTGCCCAGGCCACTCACCTGGTTAGGGCAGAGCTGGGCTGGACTTACAGCTGCGCTGCTGCCTCATTACACTGAGGACTCCAGGCCATGGCTAACATGTGGCCGACAATCTCAGAGCGACTTTACCACTAACAGGAGGCTGGAGCCCTGCCTGCCAAGCGGTCAACCAGCCTCTACTTCAATGGCTCACACGGTCACTCCGTTTCTAAAGCATCTCTAATATTAGTAACACCTTACAGGGAGCTCAGCTATAATCCCCCAATTTTCTACCTGCCTACTGGTTATATCTGTTGCATCCAAGCACACATGCACATGTCTGCAGGCACGTGTGCGCACACACGATTCTCTCTTCTTCCTATGAAAGCCTTCCAAAGATTGGCCCCAGCATGGTCTCTCCTTTGCACCAAGCGAGCCCAGCCTCCTTTACTCTTCTGCCCTTGACAGGGTTTCCATGGCATTCACTGTTCTGGCCTCAGGCCCCCAAGTGTTCTCCACGTCCTTTCCAGCATGTGGCTTCTTGGGCTCCTGCATGAGGACAGCGGCCCAACTCACTTGCCACCTGGCGAGATCTCCACCCTGAGGTCTGAGACCTGACGTGTAGGTCCCTCCTCATGCTTTGCTCTTCTCAGCAGGTTCTAGAAAAGCGTGAGCTAGAACACAGATCCTGAACACACTGAGCGAGACTGAGCTGGCTTCTGTTCCAGGGGCTCTGCGGAGCATCACGGAGAGTCCAGCTCACCTGCTCCTATCCAGAGAAGGCGTCGCAAACCGTACCTAGTTCTGCAGGAGACCCGGGTGATGCTTGATTAAAGTGCAGCTCCGAGAGGAGGGAAGGGAGTGATTCTCAGATACCGACTGCTCTCCCTCATCAGGCAGAGAGCTGGAGAAGCAGTGAATTGTGCTTCAATTATTTCTACCTGCAAATCACTGCCGTTCAGGGCCGGCCACTCATGGAGAGGCAGCTGAAGCTGCACCCTGGAGCAGGGGCATGGCCGCCCTCTCGCATCTCCATTCTGCTGGGCGGGATTTCTATGCTCCTTTACTTCTTTGGTTTTCATGGCAGAAGCAATTTCAGGCAACTTGGCTGATTAGGCAAAGAGGTTGCTGGATGTGCCTGGGCAGCTGTGCAAGGTGACGTCCTGCTGGGAACGCTCTGCAGGGCTGGGTGCAGACAGTGGGAAGGCGGCAGCCCGCACCTGTCCCAGGAGCTACACTCGGGGGCTCGGGCAGCACGTGCCTTGGGTCTTCTTCCCTTTGCCTTGTACTTGCAGTGACTGACCGTGTGCCTGAGAGCCCTAAGTCTAGAATGCAAGTTGCTGGTTTCCTCTCTGGGATTGGCTTTCAGCCTGGCACCTTGTCTTCAACAGTGGGTTCTGCCATGGTCCTCGGAGCTTCATTTCCCTGGAACCCTCCAGAGCTTCCCGACACCAGTGGCCGGCTGGATTGCCATGTGTTCCCTGTGCCCACACCCTCTACTGCTGGTACCTTCCTCCTATGAGGCCTCCAGACCCCTCACCCGGGCCACAGCTCCCAATGCCTGACTCTGCTTGCACTGGAACCTGATAACCCCCAGAAAGGGGCTTTCCCTCTAGCAAGGTGCTTTTCTTTCTCTGCTCCCCAGCAGCAGAGACCAGGGACCAGGTCAGCCTCCCAGGCCCTGTGATTTTATCTTGTATGCCATTTCCCAAGACCCCTTTTGTTCAAAGCAGCATCATAAGGGGGTGGATGCAAGGACAAGATGCAGGAGGGGTGTGTTGGGGAGAAAGGGAGTGCTGGCACAAGGTTGTCAGTGCTTCTTACCCCCAGACCCTTCTTACTAAGGAGCAACCTGGCTTCTGCAACCCTGGGGGCTGGGCTGGCCCTACAGACAGTGGAGACTAAGCCATTCGTAGGGACTTCACATCTCAGTGCCTTTGACTTTGCCTTTGGACTATATTGAGGACAACTAACAAATCACCCCCAAGTTCTGTTTACCAGGTCTGAGGGGATTTCAACCCAGAAAAACAATTTGATGCCTGGTTGTCCTGAGGCTGGATTTAAATTCACAAAGAATTATTTTTGCCATGTGGTGAATTTTTTACAGAGGTAATAACTCGCCCATTTACTAATCAACGTGATAAAGAGAGAAGCAGATTCTCCTCTTCCTTCACCACCTCCAAAATCTAATTTAACAGGAATATTCCACTTAGGCAGAGAGAACAAATAACCTAGTTACTCATTCATGGAAAACAGGTAAAAATTTTCCAGTGACTGTTTCTCGGGGGTGTCTATTTTAAGAGATGTGATGGGGAGCAGGTTACAAGGTGAACATCCAGGCTTTGAGGGAGTCAGGAGTTTCCAGAGACTTCTCAGCAGTGCTGACGCACAGTGGGCCTGCTGAGGCACAGTGGGCCTGCCGATGCACAGTGGGCCTGCTGACGCACAGTGGGCCTGCTGACGCACAGTGGGCTAGAAACACATGGCACTGCTTTCCAACTTCCCTGTGCTTTGCAAATCCATCTGATGCCTGAATGTCACAGCCACCTCTACAAAGACAATGTTCTTTAATTCACCTGAGTTGAAAAATACAATGAAAAGATTCCTTGCTGTTCTCTATGTAAAAGAGGACGCTTTTCTTAAGAAAAATGCTAGTGAAAATAAAAGTCAAGCATTGTTTTAGACTCTTGCTAATTTCCAAAATATCATTTAAAAAATAATTACACCCACAAGTTATGCATGATTCATTAGACAGCAAGATAAAATGTACTGGTAAATTTTAATTGCATAGAATGAGTAGGCGCCGTGAACTATACCCACCCCCCCCCCAACTTTGCAGGATTAACCTTTCTGGCAACATCTTCACCACAACATAAATCTTGTCCAAATAGTCTATCTTGATTAAATGATAAGAGTATTTTAGTTCCATGGTTTGAAAGACCTCTGAGGAATTTATTTTAGTTAAGTGATTAGAAGGTCAAATAATCTGTTATCCATATTTAAGCTTTTACTTCTGAAAATTAATAGGCTTGAATCATAAGATCCCCTGCAAAGATGATAGGAATGACAGCTCAGGAAAAAACCCCGCAGTTGTCTGCACGCTTGGGAGGCTTTCCAGGCTGCTGAATTCCTCTCCGTCTCCTTCTCCCCAGGTAAGACAGGAGGGCGATGTCGGCAGGGGTCTCTCCACCCCACATGGCCCCTTTCCCACACTGATTACAGACTGAAGTCAGAAAACAGGAGAGACAGAACATTTTGCAAAACATCCCAGATGGGACAATGAGGTTCTCTAACTCACCCTAGAAGTTACATACCTCACTGCTGAGGATCACCAGGGTCACCAGACGGCCGAGGGGAATTCTCTGAAGGTGACCATAGTGACTGAGAGTCAGTAGTAAGGTATGGGGCCCTTTTCTAGGATGAGTTACAGAACTTAAATTGTAAGACCTCCAGCAATGACAGCTCAGAGGGCCATGGCAGAAAAAGAGATCCAAATGTACTGAAGGGTGGATTAGGTGCTGGCGTCAGCGCACGGCTTCCCAAGGGGAGGACTTCGAAGGTGGCTGCAGTGATTTCAGCAAGGAGGTGTGTAGCACTTTTTCCAGGACGAGTTTGCAAACTTAGTTGTCCAACCTTGGACAACAGACACAACAGGCAACATCTTGCAAGATGCAACGGAGTCTCGCATTTTTTTCAAAGGGAGGTTGTCCAGGTGAAGGTGGATGATTGAATTACCCTATTTTTCACCTGATGATGCAGGATAATAGGTCAAAGTGTGTCATTTTTAAAAATTAGGAACAAGTTCAACAACATCTTGCAGGATGCTAACAGCAGCTAGTGCCGGGTGTAAGCTGCTGAGTCACTAATCGGGAGAGACCAGGCTTGCAGCACAAGCACTGGGGATTGCACATCACGCTCTCGGGACAGCAAGGCCTGCGGGGGCCCCAACTCTCCCCCAGGGGCTCAGTGACTCTGAGTCCGGCACAGGGCCTGGGGGTGACCTGGTCCTGCAAAGACGGAGCCCAGCGCACGTGCCCAGCACCGTCCACGGTTTTCAGTTCCCCCGTGACAGCCGTCTCACACACGCACCTGTGGTCTTCAGGGGCGTCTTGTCCCCCAGCAGCAGCTTTAGCCTTTTGGCGTGGATCTTGCCTTGGTAGTGCGAGTCGGCCACCACCGCGGAGGTGAAGGACATGTTGCAGAGCGTGCAGCACTTGTTCTTGTCCACCATGTCGGCGTCACCGCCCTGCGTGGGGACAGAGAGGACAGCGTGAGAGGTGCAGCCGGGCCTCCAGACTGCCTTCTCCCATTTTGCAAATGAAGATGCATCACGGACTAAACTAGCTTACTGAACAATCTACTTTCTGTTCTGCAATCCCTTTGTTTCATCAGGAGAATCATCAGCAGAACTGACTCAGGCAGTGACTTGGAGATACATTCATTTAGTGGCTACAAATGCTGGTTACTGGGAACACAGGACAGATTCGCAGCTATGAGTGTCCCTGAGAAAACGGGTCCCCAGCTAGGCAAGAGCACATTGTGTTGGGCGCTGTGAGGAAAAGACAGTCTCTAATTGCACCCATTATGCTCATTAAAGTAAGGAAAAATATCATAGTTCAGATGGCCTGAATTATTTAGCAGAAATCATCGTTTGGCATTCAGCTCTGCTTTTGACCAATTTCAGCCTCACCAGGATACAGGGCTGTGCTGTTTAAGATTCTTTCCTTTAAGATTTCTTGAAGGAATTGAACACTCCCCATAATTAACTCGAGTGTGTATCATACGACCCTGATGACCACGCTGTCTGAACTGTCTGGGAGGGTTTGTGTAACTTGCCTGTTCTTCAGGAAAGATGATTCATTAAATGCTGCACAGAGTGTTTAAATCCAGCTGTACTTTTATTCCTTTGTAAGACTTAATGAAAATGAATCATGATTCAGGAAAAATAAGCCCGTGGTCAGACCACGTGGCCCGCGGTTGAGCCCACAGGTCATCAGTTACCCGCACTGAGGCAGGGAGATTAATCCAGCGGCTTTGGCTTCCCTCCTGCCTAGTTAGAAATTGAGGGTAAAGTGGACTCTTAGATAAGGAGTTAATCTATTCCTTAATGGAGCAGAAATAAAAAAAAAAAATCTCTTTGTTAAAGAGCAAGCTGGGATGAGGCTACTGCCCTGGAATCCCCCCCTTTCTTGGTTCCCAGTGGAGCTCTTGAGTACAACCTAAAACTGCACAGGGAGGAGGATAAGGGTGGTGATGGGATGGAGGAAGGGAATTCTGTATTTTTCCTGTGTAACAGTGCGATGTCTGGACTGCTGGAGAGAATGCTTCCTTGCAAGTTACAGGGTAGTCAGAACTCCTTTCTCCTTTCGACTTGAGTCTGTAATGTCTCTGAGAATTAGCGTTTTGCCTTAAGAAGCAGGAGTATGTGTACATCTGTGAGTGTGAATGTGTGTATGTGTACGTATGTGTACGTGTATGTGAATGTGTCTATGTACATGTGTGAATGAGTATGTGTACATGTGTGAGTGTGAATGTGTGTGTATATGTACATGTGTGTACATTGTGTGAATATGTGTGTGTGAATGTGTATGTGTAGGTGTGTGTGTAGGTGTGTGTGAATGTGTGTGTATGTGTACGTGTATGTGTATGTGTGTGTGTGTGTGGTGTCCCCGGAGGCTGGCCGGCTTGCCTGCAGTCCAGGGGTGATGGCACAGGAGAGACAAGGCCGAGGTCAGGGAGAGGAAATGAATTCTACGCAGAGACCATGGGGAATCTGGCAGGCGCTGGGGCTGCGCCCACTAGGAATCCACACCCTTGTTGAGCTTTAGATCAGAGTGCTTCCAGCTTTCCTCTCAGAAATAAAAAGGTGTGAGCAGTTTTACACCTTAGTGTGGAGTGCTGTGGAGACACGTCCATGCTGGGGAGATGCCCAGGAGTCCCAGGGAAGAGCCAGGAAGGCACTGAGGGGCAGGAGCCCATTAGTTGAGCAGTAGACAGCTTGGGGGAAAGAGCCAAACTGTTGCTTTCACACTGTGTGTCAGAGATTTATCAGTCTTTTTTTTTTTTAAACAAAGAAGATTGTCAAAATGAAACTGGATGTTTGAATTACCCTATTTTGTTATGTACTTATGCATGATATAGGTTGAAGCACATCATTTTTAAAAATTAGGAACAAGTTCATAAGCCAGAGCTTAACCCACAACCCACACCTGGTTAGAATCTGTGTATCTTTTCTGTAGCTCCTGGAAACACTCTAGCCAGACCTGGCCTTTCTCCCTAAAGTTCTACCAAGCAAAAATTTCTACCAGGCACAGGTGGTGGCATCATATACAAAGTGACAGACAACTACTTTCCAGGGCAAAGAAATTACCCTTACCCTAGATTATGATCAGTGGATTTGGGAGATTGATTCATCCAATATATATTTTTGAAAATTTCAGAATATTACAGGGGTACACACATTTTAGTTATGTGAATCACTCTTGTGCAGTCTGAGTCCAAGTTAGAAGTGTGCCCATCACCCTGACAGCCAGCATCACACCATTCAGGGTGAATTTACCCGTCCTCTGCACACCCCTCCCACCTGCTTCCCTTGGTTTCCCTTGGTTAATAATTCTGTTAGATGCTATGCTAGAGTATTTGACTTCTCTCTCTGTTTTCAGGAGTGTTGGTGCTAGTTGAATTGGAGACATACAAAGAAAATCAAGGAATCTGTTATAATCAAGAAACATGAATCCCATATTGGACCCACACTGTCTAAACTATAGGGTAAAACAAAAAGAATGCAAATTTGTAAATACAGAATTTCATTTTCAAACTCTCATGCCTAGAATGCTCTTCCTTATCACTTTTGTTTAAGTCAAATCAGAATCTTTCTTCATTTCTTAATCATCACTTCCTTGAGGTGAAGTTTCTGACCCCTCTACTGTCTTGCAGAAGTGAGAACCTGCTTCTGGGTCCTCAGGGAGTCCTGGACACTGAATTATTGCATTTATTTGCTTTCACATTTGTTTTCATCATTATCCACAAAAATCCTTCAGGGTCCAAGAAATCGTCTCACTCATTAGGAAGACCCGGCATGCGCACAATGCCGGGTGGACCTTCCCACGTTTACGGAATGAATGGGGCAGAGGGTTAGTACGTGGTGTTAATAACACACGTGACATAAAAGTGGAAAGAGGAGACAGGTGCCACCAGTAAGTCTCACTGCAAGCCAAGACTTTTCAGATGAGAGGAAGATGCCAGGTGAAGACCCAGAGGTGTCAGCAATTTATAAACTAACTCGAGGGTTCAAACAAGGGAATATGTTAGTTTCCTGATAGTAGTGTTTATATTTATTCCTACATTGCTTCGCTCCTGGACAATCTCATTCACATCGTGATATAGAAGAATAGAAAAAATAAAGACGAGAAAAAACCGTGACACAGTAGGATATCCTGGGATCTAGTTGTGCCATGTTGTAGAAGGACCAAGGAAGTTCAGGTACCAGACAGCAAGGATCCGTGATGCCCTGACAAGTCAAACACACTTTATGGGCCAAGGAAGTTCAGGTACCAGACAGCAAGGATCTGTGATGCCCTGACAAGTCAAACACACTTTATGGGATGTTACTCAAGGGACCCATATAATTCACATGACACAGCTGAAAATACCACCAACTCTGACTGTTGTCATGACTCTGATGGAGACGCAACCTCCCAGAACTTTAAGTATATTCTTAGCTCCCAAATTAATGGCTCCCTGCAATTAATTATAGACCATACCATCTGCTATGGTTTGAATTTGTCCCCTGAAGTTCATGTGTTGGACACAATGCCCAGGGAAACAGAGGTGAGACCTTTAAAGGTGATACAGTCACCTCTGTGACCTATGTTAATGTTGCATCATGAACAGGCTTGTTATGAAAGCAAGTGCAGCCCTCTCTTGGGCTCTCCCCATACGATGCCTGCCTTCCGTATGTCATGATGTGGCCCATCAGTCTTGCACTTCCCAGCCTCCAGAACTGGGAGCCAAGTAAATTTTGGTTCACTGCCAATTACTGTCTGTGGGATTCTGTTACAGCAGCACAAAACAGACAAGGACATCATTCTTAGCCCACTGCTTCCAGCACAGCTGATTTATGTCCCAGAGTAAAACACCATAAAGTTTGATGAACTGACCTCCTGGAATATGTTGAAAGCTTCTGGCTTAAAGAACCGAGAAAAGCCCCCAAGTCATCAAGTAAATGAAGGGGAATCTAAGATTATCTTAAAATACGGACTTCACACTGGAGGCAAAAACTCAGTCAGATTTTTTGAACGTGATGTCCACAGAGCTGAAGGAAAGAAGCAAAGTCTGTGGAGTCAGGAGGCCACTCGGTCAAAGCTTTTTGCAACGTTCAGAAGTTTTCAGGAGAATTCAGTCACAGCGGAAAACCCTGCTGTCTCTGGCTAGAAATCTAAAGACCTCAAAGACCCCTTTCTTTAAAATTAGGATCTTTTTAAAATTTTTTACTTAAATTCAGACAATTATCTTCATTTTCTTTTACTTTAGGTGATTGTGAAAAGCCTCAGAGACGTCCCTTCCACAGTGGCAGCGCGAGGCACTCTAAGATGCTTCTCGGGGTGAAATGCCCGCGTTAGACAGGCTTTGTTCAGGCAGGTGCGATGGTGCTGTCGGCCACGCCTTCAGGGTTGACCAACAGTCCTGCACATCCAGGATAAGAAAGAGGAAATTTGCTGATCTGCATGTGTTCCACACCAGAAAATGCTACCAGAACATGGCTGGTGAATAATGAAGCTAGGGAAAGGATGGAGAAGGGTCTAAATCTGTGAATTCCCGAGCTGACGACGCATAATAAAACATATTAGACAAGCCTGTCATGAGGCTAAAAAGCCAAAGCATTTACAATCATGTTACTTGGGGTCTAAGCTACTGGGTTATTATACAAAAATACTGCCTATGTTTAACTATTTGTAAAAAAATATATACACTAAATAAGGTGTCTTTAAATTCAAATACACATGAAACAAGGTTATATATTGATGAGCTGATGAAAGTATTGTCAGCAGAGTCTCTCCACAGACCTCACCTTGCACTTTACCCAGGAGTATCAGTCAATGTCTGCTAATTCAGAGTTGGTGGTGACTTTACAGAACACAACCAACGTGAACAAGGAGAAGTGAAGGTATAGTTCATTTGAGAAAAATAAAAAAATGTGTCACATAAAAACTTATACATGAATTTTCATAGCAACATAATTCACAA